AAATCTTAGTTGACATGTTGGCGTGCTTGGCCCGCAGCTCGCCGGGATAGCTTGGCCTCCGCTTCATGTCCCCGTTCAGCTTCTCTGCGGTCACGGTGACTTGCCTGCTGGCCGCTTTCATCTTGGTTTGAGCGCTGAAACCGTTTCCAACGATTTTTCCTCCGCTGACTGTTGTGTGTTCATTTGAGTCCGGACAGCAGAGCCAGCAGCCCCCCCCCTCTCCTCTCCTCCGGTCCAGGTAAAGGATGCAGTCTGAACCGCAGAACAGCTGCTCGGGTGCCGCCTCCGCCGCCGCCCCTGGTGTTGTGTCTGCGGGACGGTAGAGCTCCCTGACCCCTCTAAGTCCTCTGAGCGCACCGGGCAAACTGAACTCAAGGAGGCTTTCCGTGGCATCAGCTGGATGGGACCGTTGTCAAGTTAACCTGGGTAAAAGAAGCCGTTTCCGGGTAAACATTTCAAAATAAAACAAACTGTCGCTGCAAGAAATGTGCAAACAAAAGTAGGGCACTGGATTCTAACTCGTTAAGACCAGTATAATAGTATTACAAACAAATAAACTCTGCATCAAATCATAGATAGGAGGTAACAGGTAAGCATGAAAAAACTGAGATGTGGATGAGTGACTTAATTATTAGTAGGCCTATTTAGCTCCATTCACTTTCAAATTAATAAAGTTGAACACAATAATATCCAGCAGGCTATTTACAGTGTTGACACACGACAGGAGGGTGATCACAGGTTTCTGCAACTTGATACTTTACAGCCTTTGATATGGCAGATTTATGGAAAGGGTAACTTGTTTAACCCAGAACAGACAATTAAAATGATTATTTCAAGAATTTCCCCAATGGAAATCAAATCAAAAAGACGTTTAATTTAAATTAATTTAAACATCCTTAATGTTTTTTATCACCTTATTCTCATTTTAATGTCAGTGTTAGCATATTTTCAAAGGCATTCACAAATAATTCACTCTCTTAAAACTTGTTGTAATTCATTTTAGGTGTCTGCGAAGCAAGATAAAATTCCTTCACATTTCACGTTGTATTGCCTTAAACCTCTTTTATACTACATGTTACTGAGATGGAAGCACAATGTTAAAGGCCTGCGGGACTATAATTTTAATGAGGGAAAACAATTCCCTCTTATTCTGAAGGAGCACTCACCGCGTTTCCGGCGCCGCTCAGCGTGTCTGTGTCGGACTTGACGCAGCTCCGGACGAGGAGGGGCTGAAAGTACGCAACACCCAACGATTGGGTCATAGTTTGAGGGAAACGTCCCGCAGCAGAAGATGGGAGAGATGCAGTGATCGTCCACAAATGATCAACGCCTCTGATTCTCTCCTGCAAGTTCTGCAGCCGGTCGTCTCAGCCCATAAAAGAGACATCAGAGCACACACACCCCCCCCCCCCCCCAAAAAAAAAAAAAAAAAAAAAAAAAAAAAAACCACACACACGAATCACAAGCCGCAGCCATAAAATACAGGCTGTGCATTGAATGGGGATTTCTAACGCTCATTATGTGCTGTGAACGAGAGATGAAAAGAAGAACTATGGGCCATTCTTCTTCCTGTCCTGCAGCGGCCAAGGTCACAATGATGCTGAAGATTCAAGCACAACGCAGCACTGTGGGCATTCAGTGTGTGCATGAAGCAGACTGGTTTTCATGCTCCTGCTGGTGAGCAGGACATAAATTCATGTGTCTGTGTGTGGTGGATGAACAGAGGGGCAGCGGGTTATCAGCACACGCACTTCAGTGGATGTAATCATCCGCAGTTTGATAAAATATTATGAGCATCTAATCTTTAATCCGACATGAATTCAGTCTGCAGCTCTGAACATCATCATCTACAGAAAAAATAAAAACACGTGTCATCAGAGAAAAACATTTATTGGCTAAATGAGAAAAACAAAAATTGAAAGCAACAGTGTGCTTTACATTTCATGTGGGTCACGTTGTGGAAAGCTGTACGAACATCTGGAGTCTGTCTGCCTGATGTGTGAGCTGATGGGGACATTTATCTCATCCATGGCTTCGACAACATTAAAAAGCTACAGTTTCAGATTCGTGCCTGTCCTGATCATTTTTTGAAAACAGCTGCACACCACTCCCTAAAACGCAAACCTTGTTAGTCGTCACAGCGATTTCATGTATCAAACAGGAAGACGTTGTAGAAATGGGTGTACATTGAAATATCTACGGCCTTAAATACAATCTGTCATCGAAGCTCAGAAAAATAAACATCCATATGCAAAACCCAAAAAGAGGAAACATAAAAACAATATTTTTTTCATAGCTCACAGGCTACATTTTGCACAAACACCCAGCTGTGGAATGTTTATTTAAAAACTGTACATATTGCAGTTCCTTTCACTTCAAATGCATCGCTTTTATTCCTCTGATAGAGAACACAAAACATTAAAGCGTCCCATTTATCCCTGTGTCTTCAAACGCCACAGGTGAGCCGCTACAACTAACATGATTCAAAGGCCGAGCCGTTTGCAGAAAACAAAGCACAAACTCCAAAACAAACCAAACTGAAGCCCTTGGTCTGCTGAGGTATGAGTGGAGGGTTTCATCTCAAAGCTGTCTATTAAAACAAAACACTGCAGCCCAAAAATTCCTTATGCAAGAAGTAACTCATGTTAGTGCACTTTAGACAATTTCATCCAAATAGACTGTTATTATGGCTGTTTGAAAAAATGAATTTTTAATGTAAAACCAATAACTCACTAATATCTTTTTGAGAAGGTTGTTTTCATTAAAGCATTTTGGGATGAAACCCTTGATTTAAAAAAAAAACAAACTATCTATTTAAAGAGGCAGTGTGTCATCTAAGGAGAGAGGGGAAATCTTACCAGACGGATGTGACAGATTCCCCTGTAGAACTGGCCTCCGATGATTCACAACCCACCAGTCTCAAAATGAAAGCAAAGACTGAGTCAGTGAAACTATAATATGTTTTCTGATTATGACACAGAACCACATCATTAACAACAGCAAATGCACCCACTGCTTAAAGTACATGATTGGTATTTTGAGATGAGGGAATAAGTGTGAAGACGTCACATGATGCCCTTAAGCGAGACACCTGATCCTACGAGTTAATCCGGGTGAGAGCATCAGCCAGAAATGACAAAAGTCATCAAAGTTTTTCCTCAAACAGCGAGTCGGTCACTCTGATCCACACCTGAGCGACAGCGTTACTGAAGCCAGTTACTCTGCAACACACACAGCAGGCCTGTACAGCTGGCTCTCATGTACAACATAAAGTGAATGACACTAAGAGCATCATACTACCTGCAGTGAAGCTCATGTAAACAGTGTGAAGGATCCTTGTTTTTGAAAGCTGTTTGTTACGATATTTTTAGAAATATTTTCTCTGATGATGATCATTTAAAAAAAAAAAAAAGTGTCGGGGGTCTGATAGGAGAAACAAAAGTATTTGCATGTACAATCTTACAAACGGAGTAATTAAAATCCACAAAATAAAACCAAAGAGCCGGGCAGACTGGAGGGTGGAGACCCATCACTACATTATAAAGATTAATGGATCTGAGATCAGTGCGATGGAAAAGTCACAGAGGAGTTAACGTTAGAGCAACTGTTTAAAATAAACAGTGTGTAAATAATGTCTGAATAAAAGCTGACTCAAGATGATAGTAAGAGTTTAGTGGCTGAGGGTTAATCAGTGTTGTTCTGCAGGAAGATTAACAGTCCGATCCTTTATATTCATTTCCACATGTAACTCACACTAACATTCTCGCCAGTCTCTAATCCAACACTGGAGCTTGTGTGATAGTGAATTAACCATCAGGCAACACTAGCTACGCCATTTATGTTCAAGGGGAATTCCATCGATTTTACACATTAAATTTGGTTTTCAGGGTCTGGGGGAGCACAAGTGCATATGTGAAGGTGATAGTATGAAGCCTCTAGTGTTTCCAGAGGGAGCTGTGTCTGCCTAAGAAATGCCCTCAAGTGATGTCACTTGAGTCTGAGAACTAGAAGTTTGAAAATAAAAATAAATCTGTAGGTGTGGAGGTAGACAGTAGTGAGACCTCTGTAGCCCACTCCTCATCTCTGCTGCAGAGTAGACACACGAGGCAACATTAGCTGCTACTAGCATATCACACTCAAATCTCTGTCCAAACTGGCAGCGGTTGAGTTGCATTGTGGGTAATGTACCAGGTTTTGAATGCAAGAATTGAAAAGATAGTATCTGATATCTCTCGCTGATTTTTAATCCTTTTTTAAAAAAAATGTGCATCATGAGTGTCATGTCAGAATCGGTGGAGTTCTCCTAATCATATACCTGGTAGCAGCTGTACAAAGGCTGGTTAACTCATCACACATTGAGGTTAACAAGCTGCAGTCAGAAGTCATTAAAGAATTTATCATTTTCGAGCTAAAACCAACACAGACATTAACCTGTTTTGTTCCTGAGGCAGTCGAGCACAAGACAAACAAACACTGTCTCTACAATGATGTGGACCACTAAAATGATGAGACTTATCACCTATCTAACACTCCTCATAGCTCAGCGATGGGTCAACTGACTCCAGCTGCCAGACTCGATGGGGTCAATTCATAAACACAAAATCTCAGAGGGGAAACTGAGCTCGCTGCTTCAGCGAGGCTCTGAGTACATGTCACCTAGGTCTCAAATCCTCCCGTGACAACATGTCTACACAAGTGGTCTTCTGGACAAATCTTCACGGCACAGAAAACCTCGAGACCCCACTGCCAGAACAAAACATGAAGCTTTTCAGTGTTGAAAACCAGTGACTGGTGGACATTTTACTCCTGATGTCTTCATATCTAACAGAGTGAGACAACAGATAGCGACTGCTCAGAGGTGATCGGACCCATTGATCCAAAAGAATTAAAACAGCTCAGAGACAGAGCGCTGAAAAGATGCCTGACCACGGCGGCGGTGCACAGTCCCTCCTCCTCCCCCTCCTCCTCCTCATGACAGTTTAAGTCATTATTTTTTCTTTTTTGATTTAGATGTGTGATGGCCACTCCAGTGATGAGTAGTGTGATGCTCCTCAGACGTCTCCTCTTCCTTTCATCCCTCCATCCTCCTCAGAAGTGAGTCTGTTTGTTCACAGCAGCTTCAGCCTGTTGATACAAACACAGGGAGGAAGTGGTGGTGCTGGGGGGGTCACAACAGGAACGTGTGTGTGTGTGTGTGTGTTACTGTGTCACTGAGCTTCATGCTTTTATCGAAAGCAGATCACAGTACCATAAGTGTGCACATTTTTACAGCAAACAGCCCCAGGGGAGAATCTTTCCTGTGACAGCATTACTGCCATCACTCTGCTCATTCAGCCACTCTGAGATAATCACATGAATACTGAATCACACAGCTGCAGAAACCGTTCACATACCAACCGTGTATTAACATGTCCTGATCTTTATGTCACAAACTCGCATTTTCATGATCCTACATCCTCAACACAACATGTTCTTGTCTAAAAAGGAGGAAGAACTAATGAAAAGTATTTACAAGATCAATAACACGTCAAGCAAAAATCCTATCATCATGAATACGTTTCAGTCACTGGGGCAGAACCGCAGTGTTGCAACAAAAGAAAACATGTTTCTTGGTGAGATGACGTAAATGATGTAAATATACAGTAAGAAGATGTATGTGCGAAAACAGGTTTTGATGTAAAATCAAAAGAATTTGAAAAGATGAATCACATAATCAATAAACTGACGGCAGTTTTCATACCAGATCGTGAATTGTTTAAGTCACCCATCGTGCAAAAAAAATGGCAAATATTTGTTGCTTCTCGTTTCTCAAATGTGAGGATTTGCTGCTTTTCTCAGTTATATGTCAAATCCTGAAATTTGTGGGATTTGAACAGTTGGTCAGACAAAAGAACACGCCACCTTCGGGGATCTAGGGGCATTTTTCGGCAATTCTTGACATAAAGGAAAAGTTCGCACAAAGACTGGCGACAGGGAGTAAACAGCTAGCCTGGCTCTGTATAAAGGTATCACTCCACCTACCAGCACCTGATATCTTATGGTTCAATCTGTGCAAACACTAAGAAACAGCCTGGCACATACTGCTCTGTAAAATAGTGATTTATCGTTTTTTACGCTTCAGTTGTTTTTACCACTTAAAAAGGTCCCATATTGTATAAAGATTTCTATGTCTTTTCTGATTATAGATCAGGTCTAGGTTCTATAATAACACTGTGAAAGTATCAAAGCCTCAGTCCACAGAGAAATGCACACAGCCTGTATTCAGACACTGAGCCTTAAAAAGCCTCCTTTCTTCTGATTGGCCGACTGACCTGTTGTAACTAGAGCTCCAGAGAGAAGCCTGAGAGAAGAGATGTGAAACTACACTGAGATGGTTTTTGGTTCTTAAAACTACAAATATATCTTCTTATGGATCAACACTTCAACTTAAACACAGGAGAAGAGGAAAATACGGAGCTTTCAACAAACTTGTCATAAGGTCTTAATTATTAAGCTTTACATGAGCAGGTAGGTGGACAGACCCAGGCCGGCCGTTTCTACCTCCAGTCTTTGTGCTAAGCTAGGTTAGCTGGTTGTCAACATTAGCTTCATATTCACCATACAGACATGAGGTTGGTCTCATCTAGTGCTAACACCAGAAAGTGAATAGGCGCAATTTCCCAAAATATCAAAGCTTTAAATGTCTAAAAGATTAATTCATAAAAACAGTTATTCCTGGATTGATCAATAACGAACATAATAATTTGTTGCAACCCTAAATTTGTCACCTGTATGTAGAAAACTACTCAAAGTGAAAAATGCTGGGTACTTTTAAAACAGTTGATCTTCTAAGATCGACTCAAGTGAAAGAGAAACTGTAAAATCGGCTGAAAGTTAGTGGAGGATCATCAGTTTTTCTTTGATACATACTGCACATCTACCATTTCTCTATGCTCATGTCCTCTGAGTTTGTACAGCACTGACTCAAAGATCATTGGAACAGATATAGTGGTTTTTTTTTTTAATAGGGGTGTTTGCTGGTACTTGATTACGTCATCCATCTCCATCCACTGTGGAGCCTCAGAAACATCACAAGATTTAATTCAATCAGACTTCAAACGGTATCTGTTCTATCTGCACTGTCATCTGTCCAGCAGGCTGCAGCTCATTTCCTCTGAAAAGCCTTTTAAAAACTTAATTGTGCCTCTAATTTCCCTGGTTTCCTGATCTCCACCCTGACACCAACACACACAGTAACACTGCTATGCACTTTCATCAGCAGAACTGTGCGTTTGTGTCCATGCACACGAACACACACAATGCCCACATGAGCTCATCTGACTTCTGCTGTTTATCACAAATGAGTCATCAGGACAAGTGTAAATGCAATCAGTGTGTCTTTTTACACCGAAGAACAGAAAGGAGCCAACAGTAATCTTTCCTTACAGTTATAATGGATGTGTGTGTCCATCTCACCTTTCATATTATATTAAACATCAACAATCAAAAATTTAAAGATTATCAACATGTTTCAGCCACAAGTCTTTGATAGAGAGAGTGAGTAAACAGATTGACTACATGTACAGTAAATGTACAGGAACCAGCTGCCTCGGCTGGACACAGTTTGTTGGAGTAAGAGCCACATAGATCAGCAACTAATTATTCTTTTTATTATCAAGAAATCTGATGATTATTTTTGGCCCATCTTCCAATGCGACGTCTTCAAATGTCTGTTTTGTCCTGTTTCAGCTCTACTTGCAAAAACAAAACAACAACATACCAACTTTTTTTCTACTTTCTTTTTCTTTTTACATCTCCTCTCTCATTGTAACAACAGGTCAGTGGGCCAATCAGAAGAGAGGAGGCTCTCTTCTGAATGATTCTCTGTGGACTGAGCGCTCTGATTCTTTGACAGTATTAATATAGAACCTAAACCTGCTTTATAATCAAACAACACATGGACATCTACTTTTATACTATATGGGACCTTTAAAGTGCGAGGAAACTAATTTAGTCCTCTTTTGGTTTTTGGATTCTTACAGACTTGGATTTTGCACAATGGAAATGGAAAGTCTGGGAACAAGTTGATTTAGAAATATTTGCTTTTTAAAACTTAGCTATTAGCCAAAGTAATAACACCACAAGCTAAGTGTATCTGAGGAGAGCAGCTAATGACGGGACTTCCTCTAGTCTGTGGTTTTTCCACTTAGTTCACTATGAAACCAATGTGTGCAGAAAAAAACAGACCGACAGGGCGATTAGGTGGTGATGTATCTCAGTGATGAGGGGAGAGCACTGATTCTAACCAGGGTGAGTGATTTCTATTCCCACTGATGGCTCCCTTGCTGAATATGCACACTATTGATTCATGGTACCATGAGATGCTTTGGATCCAAGTACTCACCAAGTGGCAATATCATGTGGCATTATTATAAGAAGTGCTTGTTTTTGTTTGAATCTGCTGCTGCATCAACCTCAGAAACAATAATGGCTTTTTATGGGTTTGCACTAAATGAAGAACAACTTGACAAACAACACAGTCCATTATGTATTTCATCAGGGGAGATGAAACAGTCATGTTCAAACATACAGGTAAAACAATGACAGACACACTTTAAGCAAACATAGCCATTAACACGATCAGTGAAGCCATGCAGAGAAACCAGGTGAGGTCAAGTTCTCCCTGGAAGGTCATGAACCTGCCAATCAGAAGCTGAACAGGACGCAGACAGAAGGTTGCATTCATGGCAAAAAGGAACTGTCAGATCACACTGCCACAGACTGCCACATCATAGCCCAATGTCAAAATCTTCTCTAGATTTTCTTCATATTTAACGTATGAGTTTTTGCCCCAAACAGGGGCAGTAAAATATCATTTATGTGCAGATCATTTAGGAATCAGACCCAGGAGTCTCCAGCCATGCTGGCAGCTCAGTGAGTCTGTATTTAGGCACAGTGGTGCTTGGAGCTATGTGCTCACATTAACATACTAACAATGACTATGCTAGCATGTTAATATTTATCAGATTTACCATGTTAACCATGCTAACATTTGCTAATTAACATGCTAACATTGCCAACATGATGATGGTGGCAGAGGGAGATTCAGGGGCGTCAACAAAGTTTTCAGAACACATGGTCTGGGAATGTCTGAACAAAATCCAGCAAGTAGATGTTGATATATTTCACTGTAAAAGTCAAACCTTTAATTTGCTGGCACAGAAGTATCCTAATATACTAGTATAGTAGAATTAACTGTCTTGGGACTTTGAATATCTGTAGCAAATTTCATGGCAATCTTTCTAATAGTTGTCATGAAAATTTACACTGAATTACAAATGTCAGAAAAGTCAGAGGATCATCAAACCAGCAGTGTTCAACCTCTGGGGGTCATGAATGTCTGAACAAAATTTCATGTCAATCCATTAAATAATTGTTGAGATATTTAAGCCTGGACCAACATGGTGAACCGACTGACAGCGAGTGTTCTCCTATAAAGCCATACAGCTGGCGTGGCTAATAGCAAAACATCTACAGAGCAGAGAGAAGAGCCTCTGTTCAATCAAGTCCTCATTTGGCTCTGCTCAGATACTTGATGTCATCCATGTTGGCTGAGGCTTCACTCTCTCAATCTGTGTACCGTCTAAAATCCAGATTTTTTTCAGCACATTCAACTGTGAATTTTGCCAACTAGCATATTGATGTGCAGCAAATCAATAAAGGGCATTATGGCTATCGATGGCCTGGATACTGGAGCATATTATTATACATATTAATCAGTAGCATCTATGTGTGTAAAACCTTTGATAGACAATGATGCAGCAAAGTAGCTCTGACCTATATTAAAAACACATTGTAGTAATTTCAGTTTAACAGGAAACACCTGGCTCCCAAGATGCCATGAATGTACAGAAAACAAGATACACACAGCAAAAGGTCACATTTCACTTTGATTCCTCTTTTTCCCTCTCCTCAGCAGAGACAAACTCATTATGTAATTAACAAACTTGCATTAACACCAGGAGAAGTGAAGGAGAGAGAACGAGAGGCTGTACACATCGAGGTTTGGTAATGCAGGCAGCATCCCATGCAAAGCGGCAAGCATTTTCATCACAGCCACAAGAGGAAGGGAACAAAAGGGAAGAGGTTTTACATGTAGAGGAAGATGAAAACGGGAGGAGGAGGAACAGGGGCAGTATACACAACACATTACAATAGGTGGAGTTAGTACTTTCAGTCCGTCACAGGAGGAAGAGGAGGAGGAGGAAGACAGTCAGGAGGAGTGTCACACAGGAGATGGGGTCCTGATTGGTTGGAGGAGGCAGTGACGACATGACAGGCTCGTGTCAGATCCAAAAACCAGGCAAAATGCTGTGCTTGTGTGTGTGTGAGGGTATAAATATATCTTTGGGTTTGTCATGCCACCAAACAGCTCCCACCGTTATTTATTTATATGTGGAATGAACAAAAAGAGCAGAGCGAGTGAGAGAGCCGCACCATGGAGAACAAAGATGAGGATATCAAACCAACACATTCACCAAAAAAAAAAAAAAAAAAAAGAACAAAAAAGAAAAAGCAAAGTGAAGCGTGAGAGAACGTTAAAAAGCTGCAGGGGATTTCTTACAGTACGTCACTGTCTCAAAGTTACTGATAAGAACCGCACCTGAGGACGTCTGCTCTGAGGACTCCACTGGTTCTGCTGTCAGGGCAGCGTTGGTCTCAGCTGGCGCCGTGTCGCCATCTTTATCTCCTGCTGTGTCGTCATCTTTCCCTCCTGCTGGTTCAGAGAAGCTCTGATCAGCCTCCAGGACGGCGGGAGAGGGATCAGTGTCCAGTGTTTCTGCTGCCAGAGAGATAAATAACAGTGATCTAACTCAACTGATCTCTTCAATAATTTTTATTGTCCAAAAACACTTGACTATTCAAAATTAAATAAATGTGTATGTTCATAAATTGATTCCGTTTAATTTCCAGGGATGGTCATGATGGTCTGTTAATCCACCGCTTTGGCCCAGACTGAAAGATCTCAACAACTACTGGATGGATTGCCATGACATTTTATGCAGACATTCATGGTGCTCAGAGGAAGAATCCTACTGAGTTTCATGATCCTCTGACTTTTCCCTCTTGCACCATCATGAGGATTACAGTTTTGGCTTTTACTGAAATATCTCAACTACTTTGTCATTGGTGTGAAATTTGGACAACACATTCATGTCCCCCCACAGGATGAGCTCTAATAACTTTATTGATCCCTTCATTTTTCAACTGGTGCCACCATCAGGTTAAAATTTTAATTGTCCAATACTCTGGTTTATGACCACATACCTGCAAAACTGTCTTCAATATCAACTCTCTTTTAGCTCTGTGTTTGGTCTAGACCAACTCCTGAGGGGAATATCTGGCTCTTTAGCTGTTAAATGTTCCAACGTGTTCACCAGCTGCTCTCTAACTGTCTGTCTGCTGTTTGATGCTGAGCAGGTGTGGCCTGATCAGCCTGGTGTGGCCAAAAACGACACAACAAGCAGTGAGACTGAACCAAAACAGATAAATAATGAGCTGCGACTGACTATAAAGCTCCGTGAAGCCGAGGGGAGCAGCTCATTCAGCTGATACTTCTCTGTAGGTTCATCACGACAAGCAACACCTTTCACAGTGTCACGCTGTTAAATCGGCCCTAGTCTCGTTCTTGTTTTGGTTGTTTTTTTGAGGTTTTTCTATTACCTTGTGATGGAGCAGCAGGTGTGTCCTCGTCCATCGTCACAGCAGCCTCAGTGACCTCAGAGGGGGCTGGGACAGAAATATCAGAGAGGGTGTCATCAGATGGTAGTGCAGCGGGGGAGTCTGTGGGGACGGGCTCTGGTGCTGACACGGGCTCCGGTGCTGACACGGGCTCCGGTGCCGCCACGGGCTCCGGTGCCGCCACGGGCTCCGGTGCCGACACGGGCTCCGGTGCCGACACGGGCTCCGGTGTTGCCACAGGCTCTGGTGTTGCCACGGGCTCTTGTATTGCCACGGGCTCCGGTGCTGCCACGGGCTCCGGTGTTGCCCCGGGCTCCGGTGCTGACACGGGCTCCGGTGCCGCCACGGGCTCCGGTGTTGCCACGGGCTCTTGTATTGCCACGGGCTCTGGTGCTGACACTATCGGAGGCTGCTGGGGTTTAGCCTCTTCTGGAGGACAGGAAAAAGAGAAAGAGGAGATAAGACACAGGGAGAGTCGAGCAGACATGAGACATGACAAAAATCGAAGGGACACAAGAGGAGAGCTACATTTCAAACAGTATTTTACTTCTCACACCAACTTCCAAACCACACACACAATGGTACACACAATACACAGCAGTCTCACAATATTACTGTAATAACTTCATATTATGGCTCAGGTGTGAGTTAGGTATCTTACCTGTATCCTCCTTTTTCTGTGGCTCAGCAGGTTCGTTGGAGCTGGCAGCTTTGCTCTCTGTCTCCTCCTCCTGCTGCTGCTGCTGCTGCTGCTTCTCCTCCTCCTCCTGGGCCTTCTTCTGGGGGGGGCTGGCCTCAGCACTCGGAGGTTTCAGGGGGCTCTCGCCCCCCATGCTGCTCCGGGGCGACAGCATCTCCATCTCCTCCCCCCAATCTGACACAGGCTGGTGGCCATCCAGTGGGGAGAAGGGGCTGATGGGCTTGCCTCCCTCTGGTGACTCCTGAGCGGTTGCTGGGGGAGGGATGTGGACCTTCGGCCTGGGAGTCCGCTGCTCTTTGGGGCTTCCTGTCGATGTCGATCGAGAACGAGGTTTGGGAGACGTAGGGGAGTTGTCTTTGCTCTTGGCTGGTTTCTCTTTCCCAGTGTCTTTCTTCTCGTCGCCCCTGGAGTCGTGTTCTGAGTTGCTCCCTTCCTCCACCGCTTCCTCGACGTCTTCTCCATCACTGGCATCCTCCCATTCGTCGTCGTCTTCCTCTCCGTCTCCATTCTTCTCCTCCACCTGAGAAAAGATGGAAAGAGGGGATTACTGGGAAAGCAACTGCAAAGAGTTTGCAAACTTAAAACTGTGATATCTGATTTTGTTTGCGTGAAGTAGAAACAAGCAGTTGATAAGAGGAACCAAACAGCAGAGGCAATATTCACTCTCCTTTAGGTTTGGTCTCCACCTATTCCTGAGGAAAATATCTAACTCTGTAGCAGCTGACTGCTCCACTATATGTTCACCAGCTAGTCGCCAATGTTGCCTGTCCACCGTTTGTTGCTCTAAAAAAAACAGTAAAGACACAGGGCAGGAAGACCAAAACAATGAGCTGAAAGACAACTCCACTGATTCTCCTATTGTGTTGTAAAATGTTGATCATAGCTGTTGTATTTGTGTCTTAAAGCTACTGTTCTGAAATGTTGCTTGGTTGTTTCTTTGAGTAAGCACTGTGTGTGTATTTAGTAACTTTTGTCTTTTCTCAGGTTTTGCAGCCAGACAGAGACAGTAAAGAAAACACATCCAACATGAACACGTCCAGTTTAGTCTCCGGCTGCCTCCATCTTTTCTACATTAATGCTGAGGTACTTTTGTTGCATTATTAATCTAGATGAAGCTCCTCTACCTTCTGTGCTGTGGGAGGTTTGGGTTTTTCTTCCTCTGTATCCTTCTTTTTTGTCTTCTCCTCCGTCTTTGTCTTGTCCTCCTTTTCCTTCTCCTCCTCTTCTTTCTCTCCTTCCCAGCGGTTGTCATGCATGCTGTCAAAGGCATCCGGATATGAAACATGACATTATGTTTTCATAACAATATAAAATAAACCCCACTGATTTTGTTAAAGCGCCGTTAAACCAATCCATCACCTGAACGAGGACAACTTCAACCTGTACCGTGTGAATGACATGATGATTTGTTTTTATAGAAGAATAATGCCAAATCCATAACTGATCTATAATCTTGAAAAGAATGATTAGTCGCATTATTAACACCACGACTGTACTTTTCCTGTAAGGTTGGGCGGCCATCTTTAAAAGGTGATAACCACAAAAACACCTTCAGCATCCTCTGACAGGTCGAGGACAGAACTGTGATGCCGAAGTCACATTTACCTGTAGCTCTGTTTCTGTCCTCGGCCCTTCCCTCTGCCTCGGTCCCCTCGGGGCCCCTGGCTCCTTCCCTGGGACAGGAAGTCACCAAACGTCGGAACTTTTGGCGGCCGCTTAGTGTCATCTGGAAGAGATGTTAATGGTGAGTGTAAAGTTGTTTTGTAATACTTGATCTAAAGGCAGGGTGAATGAGGAGAGGGACAGAAGGACGACAGAGGAGGTGATGGACGTGTGTTTATCATTGTCACAGCTGCTGCTCAAAATGACCCAGGACATTTACCTCACAGCAAATGATGCGTAAAAGTCGTTTTTTTTTTTAAAAAGGCATGAATCAAAATTCATGATCCAGATGGGGCATACACTGCGTCAATATTATGAAACAATACAATCAACACATAATCGCAATTTTTAAGAAAAAGGTTCACATTTGTGAGCCTTAAGAACCATGAAGAGCTTTCCTCTTTTTTGGGGGATAAAAATCTTTATATATACAGTATATATATATTATATATGTATATATGTTAATGTACAATAAATGTATGTCATATTAACCACGTTGTGAGTTAATTCTGGACTGAATAACTATTTTAAAGAAATTTAAAAGGGTGTTTAGTGGAAACAAAATCAGTTTATCCGTTGCTTGGTCTGTTTCTCCCCTTCCTGCTGCTGCAGTCTGAAAGTCAATACCTTACGTAACAACAGAGTCAAGACTTGTGTGACAGCAGCAGTCCTGCAGTGACAAACTGCTGCAGAGTCCATCTGAACTCTGAGACAAGGTCAGACGTCAGTCTGCTACTCTGTGGGTGACTGATGGCCGCGGGTGGGAGGGAAAGAGACAGTCTTACAGATTTTGATGCCTCGTGTTTCTTTGTTGCATGTGAAAGTGGAAGAGGAAGATTGGCCTCCATAATACTGTGTGTAACATACAGAAAACGCATATTTTATTACAATAATGTCTTCAAGTGGAGGGCAGCAGTTATACTGACAGGTGTTTCTATTATTTTGACCACCCCATTTATATCAGTGAATATGGGCTAGAAACAGAAACACCTCTCTGTATGTAATACAGCTCAACAGCACCACACACTGCTTCTTCCAATATGACTGTACAGTTGAATCAACACCTTTCTTTAAAAAAACAAAAAACAAAAAAAACAAATTAAAATGAAGGTTATAAACTTGATGAAGGCAGGGTTTATTACAGGCCTGTTGCATTAGACTGGTTTAGTTTTAGCCTGGTGTATCCAATACACTGAGTGTATAAGTGATATAATAAATATTTAAGCAAAAATATGCGTAAGTTTATTTTAGTCACAATCTGTGTATTACAACAGGAAAGACCACGTAACCTCTCTTATTTCATCATGAAGAAAAAAAGAGACAGGGGATGGAAGGAGAGAGGAATAATGAGGATAATGCTGGAAGAAGAGACGCTAGAGTGGAATGGATGTCAGAGTAGCCGAGTTTCCCTCGCAGATGTTTTTGCAGAAACATTTTTATTTTTTTTTAGGAAAGTTGACAAAACACAGTTGCAGATGGTCTTTGTTTCTATTGAGGGATATTCTGCAAATTGAGCTGCGTTTTCTCTACTTGTGATAATGTGACGATGAATTTCCATCAGTCTGTCCCTCGGTTGTAACTGGCTCCCTGGGGCCTGATACGGCAGGCGCCATGGTTTGAATGCGGAAAAAAAAATGTTTCCATTTCACTTTTGCAAAATATTACTTTGTTGAATAGTCCACATCATGCGAGCGCATACATTTTTTCATGTGTCTCCGTTACTCATTTTAAGTTTGCAATTTCAAATTGAGCATGAAGCAGGTTAACAGAAACGCATCTAAAAAGGAAATGATCGAGAGGTAACCTAAAATAAAAAGCTGTAAAAGAGAAAGAAGTAGAATTGAGCCAATTATAGGGAAAAATTATAGAAGGAAGAGAAGCAGAGCAAAAATCATAGAGGTGTGAAGGAATGAGAAAACAGTCAAAATTATGAAAAGATGTGGATGAAACAAGAACAGAAGATGGAGGAATGAAGAGAGAGAAGGTCAGAGACCAAAAGCTCCGACAGGGGAGAGGATGCAGCGAGGGAGGTGGATAAGAGCTGGAAGGGAAGGACGTGATAAAAAAAAAAGGTCAGAAAGAGAAAGCTACAAGCACAAAAGAGATGAAGGGATCAGTGCGGAGAAAAGAAAAAACTGAGAGGATGAAGATGAGGAGATTGAACAGAGCAGCCCGGGGCTGTGAAGAGGACACTCAAGTCATTCCAGAAATTAGAAATGGTAAAGAAAAAAGACACACACACACACACACACACACACACACACACACACTAGACACACACAAATACAGCCAAAGCAAATGCAGGCTTAAATGTGGGGCAGGTGTGATGCCATAACCTCTAATATACACTCCAGATCTAGACACACACAGAGATGGAGGAAACCAGGACTGAACAGCAGTTCGAATTCATTCTCAGCTTTTGTTTGAACCTTCTCACAGGACAGCTCAGCCTGGAAGATCTGGTACACTGCACATGTGATCTGAGGAGAAGGCCATACAAACACTAAGAACTATTTAAAAACACTGTTCATCATCCTGAGGTGGGTGTGTGTGCAGTCAGAAGCGTCTGAAGTGTTGCCAGCCTCAAGGAAAGATTCACAAATCCTTACAGATGTTCACCCAGTTCCAAAGCAAAGCCCTGACATGGACTGTGGCTCAGGTTAAATCTCCCTTTTCACAGTCTGTTCACCTGCAGTGCTCGCTGACTGATTTTAGTCATACAAAAAAAATCTACATATGGTCTTTGTGGCTTAATGAACAGAGATATTTGCAGGTTTTGTAAAGCAACGTTTAAGATTGTGCAAGAGCTTTAAAGATTATTATGTCGCCTTATTAGAAAACAAACACAAAATGGGAATAATATAAACATCAGGTACAACTGTGTTTAGTAGACCACTCTGATGCAAATTAATAGAGACCATGTCATATGCAATGTGCTAATGTAATTGCTTGATTTAAAAAATGAAATCTTTAAGATGTTATTTTCTTATTCATGTTGGTGTTTCAGTTGCAGATATTTGGATACACAGGTGCAAACTGGGGGGGGGGGGAGTCAGGTTTGTGAGTTAGGGGAGAGTTTGGGTTTGGTTGCAGCTGTTGTGCTTCAGACAGACACACAAATGGAACAAAAACACACACAAAGTAATCTCAGTCCCATGCTGTGGTCTAACCTGAGGCCCTGCCCCGAGGCTCTGCACGAGAGTTACGCCCCCGGGCTGCAGAGAGGACACACACACAAACACACAGACACACACACACACACACCTTGTCCATGAAAGAAAGCAAAGACATCATAACCATGTAAACATCATTTGTTACTGAGCAAAAACTCATTATCACTGGAGAGCACAATGCATGCGAGACACTGAGATGAGGGGTAATCTGTCTCACCACTTGTACAACTCACAATTTTCCCTCCTACAACTCACACATACTTGTTTTCCTTTAACAGAGAATGTCGAAATCATAATCATTATTCTAATTATTAAACTTTCTACACAGAACTGTCACTGTTCACTTTCATGCTGCACTTAATAAAACTACAGTTTAAACAACACTCACATTAAATGCACACACTTTAAAGAGATAATGTGTATTGTATATGAAAATGATGAAGCTGCCCTTCAAGATAATACATGTTCCTGAGGTCCAGACTGTGATGCAGTTGTTTTATGATTGTTTAGCTCTTTATGTTTTAGCATGGAACAACATTTTATACCATCTGGTGTTTCATGAAAATATTCACTGCATACATTTGCACTTCAAGCACCAACCATCCAGTAGAAAAGAGGAGCAGCATTAAAGATGCAGAGCCACTCAGACTGAGTTTGGCTTGTTTTGCTGTGGGACAGGGATTACAGGTCCCACAGTAAATTATTTGGATGACTGACTGAAATTACCAACATGCATGAGTTGAATTATGTCATAAAGCTCGTCAGGGTTGTAACTGTCTATTACAAAGTAACTACAATTAACTGCCTTGCAGTTGTATGCCTTCGCAAACCAGTCATGTTGCTGGAAATGAGGTTGTTCCTGAGTTACAGTGTTGAATTAAGAAAAGTGTTTTTGCAGAACATTATGAAGTCACAGTGAAGTTGACCTTTGACTGGATATTAAACGTCCTCGCATCTTAATTTTATCCAATTAGACATTTTCGTTAAATTGTGTCAGAAGTATCTTATGAATTCGTGGCCAAAAATGAGTTGAGAGGTGACCTTGACCTTCGACCACCAAAATCTAATCAGTTCATCCTTGAGTTCAAGTGAACGTCTGTCCCAAATTTGAAGAAATCAAAGGCGTCACTGAGATATTGCGTTCACCCGAAAATAAAAAATTACATAAAAATGAATTATTTGGTGACTTTTTTGCTGCAGGCCAAAATAAGATTAATTAATTCAAAAAACTAATTTGCCTTTGCTCTTGTCATGGGCAGCTATCATTTTTGATATCTAATAGACTAACTGATTAATCAGAAAAATAATCAATATAACAATTAAAAGTGAAAAATAGTTATTTATAAACCTCCTTTATTCAAGTGGTTGTTAGTGAACATCTGTTTTAAATATGTTGTACAGATGTTTTGGTCAGTTTAAGTTGGTCGGGGCTGATGTTTTTACCTTTACTTCACTGGAGGACAGAGTCAGTCAGCACATATAAAGAAACACTGTGTCCTTGTGAAGCTTCTCTCAGATCAGCACGACCTCGTCTTCAGAGGTTGATTTGGACTCCAGGGAAATACAGCGAGTATTTACATAACAAGCTTAATCAACTTTCATTTACATAACAGCTTTAATTAGCTGAAGGAGGGAGATGGTGTTGTGTCCTGAGATGTGTGTTCGGTGTGTATGATGTGTGTGTGTGTGTGTGGGTGTGCGACGACATGTTGGAGTGACATCAGGTCAGACAGGAGACATGGGATGGACGTGGATTGAGGGTCTGCTGCTGCCTTAGTCCTGCCAGCTGTTTTGTCACCACAGCAACAGCACGTTAGTGGTGTGTGTGTGTGTGTGTGTGTGTGTGTGTGTGTGTGTGCGCAAAGACTTGCCTCTCCTGCTGCCCTGCTCGGACGTGATGCCCTCTGAAGCCACATATGGGTCCTCCTTGAACCTGTGAAAACAGCCGCAGGGTTACACACACACACACACACACACACACACACACACACACAATATATCATAGTGTCCTTCTCCTCACGGCACTCTGTCTTCATCTTTATCCCAACTGACAAGCACTCAAACACTTTCTATCCCCCTCACCTCCTCTGTCCTCTGTCCTCTGTGACGAGGATGAGGACCTATCCCGCTCTCCCCGAGTTCAGCGTTTTAACGTCACACAACTACTTCTGCTATTTTTCATGTGAAGAACCAAGTGCATCTCTATGAGTGTCAATCAGGAAAGACTTTCTGACAATGTGCACAGTTATCCCCATATGTCCATGGTCATGGACAACGCGCGAGCAATACATGTAGTTCTGATCAAAAATCTCAAGAACTGACCCTCGGTCCACTTTTTAGTTTTGTAACCTTTGAGTCACATGAGGTTTTATTTCGCTGTTTATTTTCATGTAAGGAATCTAGTGCTCAGAAAAAAAAGAAGGGAGCTGTCAAATGCAAAAGAGTCAGAGACCTTGAAATTCTCTGTATGTGCTCAAATACAGGCACTCGGCTACATGAAGAAAAGGTCAGATCAGCCTCTATTGCAACACCTTTCAAGCTTGGTGCTCTTCCTCTTCCTTCCTAAGGCAGTATTACAGAAATCTAGTCAAAAATAAACAAGTAAATACATTTTAAAAAAACCCCTCCCCTTCTCACATGTTCTCAGTCTTCTGTGCGTCCCACTCTCGTCTCCACTGGCCTGTGGCGTTGCGATGGCGTGCCAGTCTCTCCTCGTCAATCTGCTCACGCTCCTTCTTCCAGCGCAGGTACTCTGCTCTCTCCCGGCCGGTCATGGACATGGTCATGTCCACAGAGCCTTTCGGACCAGGCCTTCGACTCTACAGAGACGGGGAGGGGTTATAATGATAGAAATGAATAATGTTACACAAGGAAGTACAAAAATGCAAAAAAAAACAAAAAAAAAAAAACAAGCCATAAAGACAGACATTACTCACAGTCCACTCCCTCTCCAGTTCAGCTCCTGTCTTTACGTTATCAAAGTCCAGCCCCCCCCAGTTTCGGACATGTCTCCTGCTGCCCTCCTTGCGGTCTATGTCTGGCGCTGGGCCCGAACGTCTCGGGTCATCCAGGAAGTTACGAATCGGCTTGTCACCATCCTGCTAATAAGAGAAATTCGACATGTAGTTTTCTGTCACATTTCATCATGTTCATTTAGACCACAGCTTGTTATAATTCAGATGTTGAAGCCAAAGTAAAACCGAGCTCCTTTCTACTGTAAACACAATTCACAACATTAAGAATCTGCACTTGTATTCTACAGCAGACGGACAATAGAGGGGACTGAAATGGGACAGACATCAATACTACTAAGAGGGGAAATATAAGTGGTGCTGTTTAAAGTTGATCAGTAAAGTGAGAGAACAGATGAACAGATCAACAAACATGAAAGTCTGAGGAAAGAAATGGGAGGGAGGAATCGTCACAGTCTATGTGGGTAGAGAAAAATCCAAATACCATCTGATAAGCTAAAACTCTGTGGAATTATCTTTTCAAAACAGTGCCTCCCATACCCGCTGTCCTCTCTCGTACTCCGCTATTCTCTCCATTTCTTCGTTCATCTTCTCAATGTTCTGTCGTCTCTTCTCCTCCCATTCCTGTTGAGGAAGCAACACAGGGCCACATCGTTAGTTACAGATCATCATTAATTATTTTAACAAATACAGGACTTGCATGCTGAATCCACACTACGACGTTTCCGTTTTAAAACGCATCTCTTTTGCTGCATTTACTCCTCCCGTCCACACTACTCTGCAGACACTTTTGGAAACATTTTGCCCCATTTTAGTTTGAGAACTCCGGGGTTGTGCTGTTGTCTGAACGAGCAAAAACAGAGACCTTTGAAAACGATAAAGTAGACACCCACGCTGCTCCTTGATTGGGTCTCATCAGCCTCGACTACCAGTGGTGAAAACATGGACAACTAAATACAAGTGTTCAGACCTTGTTGTCTTCTCTAGCAGCTGTTCATAAATTCTGCATTTTCATGCTACAACCGCATTTACTGCTCCTTGTTCGTAGTATTTTATGCAAGTAATCAACTGCAGAGAAGACAATCTGCTTCCTGTTTACAGCAGCTCGCACACGCTCAGTGTACATGAAGAGTCATGTATGTATGTATGCATATGCATATGGTCTAAACTGAGAGCTGCCTTAGTGATAACTCACCACCGTCGCAGGTTCACTGATAAAACAGGATTTCAGGATTGTTCAAGAAACACAGATTGCATCAGAAGATCTACATGAAAATTATAGAGCTGCGCCTCGAATGCAGGACAGTAGCTGAGTGTCATAGTTCATCTGCACTTACTTTAGATTTCCTGTCCATGCCACCTGGTGTTCCTGTTCCTGTTCCTCCTCCTCCTCCTCCTCCTCCTCCCCCTCCACCTCCACCTCCACCTCCTCCCTCTCCTCCTCTTCCTCTTCCTCTCCTTCCTCCTCTGCGTCCCTGCCCTCCCAACTCCCCCCCGGGTTCTCCATCTCTGGGTGTCCTCGGCTCCCATTCTCTCCTCTCTTGGCGACCTCCTCCTCCTCCTCCTCCTCCTCCTCCTCCTCTCTGTCCTCCCCGGCCTATTCGTGTCGACCCCGTCCTCCTGGTGGGGCTATGGGCGTCGCTCTGCCCTCTGAGGCCGTCGCTTTCTTCTGACGACTTCCGGCCGCGAGGTGTTCCAGGTCCAGGTTTCCAGTCATTCACGACTCTCTTCTCCTGCAGGAAACACACACAAATACTTAAGTACTTAAGTACAGTGCTAGAACCACGTCAGCATGCGGAGCAGCAGCTCTCAACATTACATCTCGTCTCTCTGTGCATGATCAGAAGAGGATTTTTCTCATCATTTTTCTCTCTTGTCCCCTTGCGTAATTTCAACCCATTGTGTTAAAATAGTGTGTACATATTTGGTTGGTTCAACTGTTCACTGCTCTGCACTGATTCCTGTTTGGCCCATGGGAGAAAAAATATTTCCTGTCCTGAATTTAACCCCTGTACTTTAATTCCAACACACTCAGTCTCTTGAAGAACTGGTAGAAAGGAATAATCAGGGCTATGGATTATGCAAAACTACGACATGATGAACTCAGAGAGTGGAGCTGGGAGGTGATGAACAAGAGAGGGAGAGAGCGAGACAGGGAGCTCTTTAAGAACAGGGATCAGGAGTCTATTGTCAAGCTTTAGAAAAGGTTTAACAGACTAATGAACCAAATTTAACCTGTTGACCCTGAATCAATATCCATTCAAACAGGAACACACGTGGAGCAGACGCCACCCTGTTGCCCTTCAGCTCCTCCTTGCCTTGTAGTCTTCGCAGGTCTAACACTGCCCCTCCTGGACCTGATCAGCACATACTGCAGGAGGCCAGTCATCATTCAACTGAGCTCTAGCATTTATTTAAAGAGTCTGTACAGACTTAATAAAACTCCCTCTGGGCGTTCCTGATATATTGCATTCACAAGCACGTGGGGTCATTTTGACCTTTGACCACCAAATTCTAATCAGTTCATCCTTGAGTCCAAGTCAACGTTTGTGCCAAATTTCAAGAAGTCAAGGCGCTACAGAGATATCACGTTCACGAGAATGGGACGGACAGACAACCTGAAACCATAAAGCTTCCAGTCCTGGCTGAGGCATAACAATGCGACTGTGTAAAAGGGGTTGGGCTCGTAGTGATGAACCAACAGAGAATCATCCCCTGAATCTGCAGCACCCTTGGCTTTACTCAGGTTTATAGTGAGTTGCGGTTTGATTACAGCCAGGGTGTGTGTCATACTCCGTATCTCTCCTCCATGTTTCCTGTCTGCCTCTTCCCTGCCAACTGTCAAATCAACCACACAACACACACAAACACTACCTGCTCAGCTCCACACAGCAGACAGACACAGTTAGAGACTAGCTGTAGTGACCAGGTCCTTCACTTTAGCAGCTACCGGCTGCTCACTGCGCGCTAATAGTTTAGATGTGCCCTCTAAAAAAAAAAAAAAGATATCCAGTTCTTACCAACGCTTTGTATCATGAACACTGTCCCTCTCCACACTATTTCACTGTGTGAATATCAAAGAAAAATACAAACAATCAATATTCTATAGTTTCCTGATGAGAGGTGAGTCAACAGCGTCTCTCAAATCAGACGGACACTGTAGAGCTTTGAGATTTCATGAGTCAAAGTTTAAATCAGATTGAACTCTGTGTGAAGCAAAGGAAGCGGGTCAATTCGCAACCAGAAGCAAATGTGTCTCGCCCTGTTTCACATGAACATGAATGGGAAGTCTGGGTCACAGACCTCTCCACATTAAGATATATTTGGGGTATAGTTCAACTAAGAAGGAAAAAGTTACACACAGTAGCTTTAATTTATCTGTTAACTGCATGCATACTGTTGCGGATTTGTTTTTTTTCTATTTCATATATAATGTTGAAATTTGTATATAATTCCTAAGAATGTGAGGCTACTTCAATGCACTGCACCTTTCTTTTAGGGTTTAAAAAGGGAGACTCTTGGGAAAACGACCATGTGTGTAATCCACAGGTACACGTGAGTGTTTGCATAACTTGTACAACATGTTAACAGATGTAACAAACTGAACTGAATTAAATGCTGGAAAAACAGAGCTCATTTCCCAGGACATTTGTATAACTTCAGCAAGTCAACTGAAGTTCACTCTGCACCAGAAGCTGCTGTTAAATCATTACGCTACAATCATCTTAGCTCTGTTTTAAGATACGTTAGCCTGATCAAATCTGTACACAGCAGAAGCAGAGCTAGATGGATCACACACACGCACACGCACACACACACACACACACACACACACAGATAGAGAACAGATGAAAGTCTGAGTCATAACCTCTCATTGTAAATGTTTGTATTTTAAGCCTGTGTTGTGTAATTTTATGTCGACAGCTTGATTGTTCTTTTTCATGTTATTTTTCCATGCTGTTCTATTAGCTCATTAGGAGCAATGTGGCAAATTACTGATTATTATGTATTAATATCACATAGTACATAAACAGTGACAGAGCATTTTATCCTCATCGCCCATATAATGTCTTTTGGTAGTGTGTATATTCCTTCCATCTATGTAATGTATGTAACCTCTATGACAGAATTTAATCAATCCACAAAGGCCTCAGTGATGAAAGTAGGTCAAAGTATCTCATCTCCCAAATGTCAACATTTCAGGAAACAAGAAAAGCTGCCTCATTTTCAGACTAACCACTTCACATTTTTGGGTTATGAGTCAACTCAGCAGAACTCATCCAACCATCTAATCCTTCAAATAGAGTTCAAAACAACCATGACATACTCTATATAATGTTACATGTGCTTCTCATTTTCTTTATTTGTTCTTCAGCGTAATGTTGAGTTTTCCTGCAGAATTTTATCAGCACGTTTGTCAATAAAAATATATCTTATCCCAAATGCAAACTCCGTCTGACACATGTAACCCAAGTGGGCAGAGGACCGGTGCACGGCATGATGGTTAGACCAGCAGGTGTGCGGTTGGTGAACTGATCACAATAATGAGAATCTGTCACAGTTCATCAGCTGCGTCCTCTGTCTGCAGAATCATCATAAAACAGATGAAGAAATGATCTTTTCTACAGCCAACAAAACAAAAGCAAATGATGGAAACATGTGTCACACTACTCTGATACTTGCTGATCTTCCTTATGAGAGGGTGCAATGACTTTAAAAAGCTCAGGACACTCATCATGTCTTACCCCTGTTGGTTTAGAAAGGTCGACTGTGACGGTGAAGTTTTCCTTCTCCGTCTTCCTCCTGTCCGTCTCTGGCTCATGGGGGCGGGGCTTCCGAGGTGTTGTCACAGCAATACCCTCCTGTTCTGCTTTCTTCTTGTCTTCTTCGATTTCCTGTTGAGATCGAGTGACAGAATAAGTGAGATTAGACTAAAACTGTTTCTTAAATCCAAACTCCGGATTAATCCTAAGAAGGTTTTGTATGTTGAGTGTTGCTGTGGATGATAAGCAAGTTAAATTTATTCATATAGCACCTTTCACAGATTTAAAAAAAAAAAAAAAAACAAACAAAAAAATCACAAAGTGCTTTACATCATAAGAAGAACAAAGGTTTGGACAATAAATACAAAGCAATGAAATAAAAAGCAGGAGCTATTCAGATAGACTGACCAAAAACCTGTCTGAATCAAAATGTTTTCAGTTGCCTCAAGTAGGTGTGACAGGAGTCTATGGATCGCAAGCATAGAGCAGTCCATAGTTTGGGTGCCACAGCTTGAAAATCACAGTCACCCTGGGTTTTATAGCAGGTGCAAGAGACGGCCAGTAATTTTTGTTCAGTAGACCTGAGACCCCCGATTGGCCGTATAAGGGAGGAGGAGGTGAGCAATATATTGGTGTGTTTGGCCTTGCAAGGCCCTAAAGGTGAGCACCAGTATTTTAAAATGGATACAGAGTGTGACTGGGAACCAGTGCAGGGAGGATAAAACTGGTGCGATGTGTGGTCTCTTGTTATTTCTGTTTTGGAGACAGTTCAGGCAGGTATGAAGAGTGTTAACAATAGTCTAAATGAGAAGAAACAAGCATGAATAATCATCTCCAACTTAATCTTGGCAATGTTCCTCAAATGGAAAAAACATGAGCGTGTAAGCTGGCTGACATGATTATCAAATCACAGCGACTGGTCCAAGATGTTCTTTGTTTAACAAACCAGAAAACAAAAAAAGAAATAATCATTTAGGGCGATATAACCTATAAATAATATTGTGTATAAATAATAGGCTGTATCATCATACACGATATATATCTCGATATTTTGAAATCTCCTCTAAAGTACTGTTAAGATTTTAACCCTTTGATGCATAAATCCCACCAGTATGATTCTAGTAGTCCCTGCAGCTTTTGTCTGCATTAAAACATTATTGATTACTGTGTTTTCACTAGTGGTTTCTTTTGGAACTCTTTTTAATTTGCAAAAAGGGGGAAATCACAAAGTTAAATTTGACCCTGAATAAAAACAGAGCTCAAAGCAACAAAAAATGCATTCAACAAGAATCCCCTGAGAAAGACATTTAACCCAGTGCTGTTTCTGTTCTCAACCAATTCAGCGCTTCACGTCTCTCCAGGCTCACTCCAGCTCCCAGATAACCCCACATAAACACACATGCCTCACCCACATCACACACACCAGGCCAGGAGGAGAGTTATACATATTTTGTGGGCGTTTGTATTTTAAAACTAAGATCTCCGTACCTGGTACCTCTTGACCAGAGCTTCATTCTTTTTCCTCAGAGCTTCGATTCTTCTGTCCAACTCTGCGTCCTTCTCCTCCTTGGTCTTGAGATCCACCGTTGAAGACTGAGGAGAAAGAGCAATGAAATGAGGAGAAGGCCAGTGTGTCAAACATCCATAGAAAACTGGACCAAAGGCAAATACAGATAATTCTGTTGCCTATGCCTCTTCACTTGACACGTAATTCTTCAGTTTGCTTTTGTTAAAGACATGAAAATTACTTTTTAACAAGCAAGCTGATGAATGTAGCAGAATTTAGCCTTTTCCTGCCAGTGTGTGCACCTCCTCTACCAAATCCTAAAATCACTCTCTTACTTACCATAGCTGCCTCTGACTTGTCCTCATACACAGGTGGCAGACTACTTGTTCCTCCTGTAATGAGAAGATGAAGAAGATGATGCTGCAGCACTAACCAGTCAAGCATTAGTCCGTGAGGTGCTTTAACAAAGTTTTTCTCAGTGTTACTTCACCTGGGTATTTGCCCGTCACTGTACAGAATGATATATGCTCAGAGTTTGACACTAAAAGGTTGTTTTAGTTTAAGATGAGCATGATTCTGAGATATCACAACAAGTTTGGAAGCCAATCATAGTCTAATATAAAGCTACAGCTAACAATTATTTGCAATCCTTTTGGTTTTACTTAATTGATCAATTGTCATCTATAAAATGCAAGAAAATTATGAGATACATTATAGTTTGCCACAGACCAAGGTGACCGTCTGACCAGCAGTCCAAAATCCAAAAATGTTGCTTTTAAAGCAAATAATCTTCTCATTTAAGAAACTAGAAACTGCATACAGCTTAAAAAATGACTAATATTATCAATCAATAAGCAATTATCAAAGAGGAAAAAATGCCAATCAATTTTCTGTCGATCAGCTAATCAATAAAATTATAGCAGCTCTGGTTCAATGTGCCACTAATATCAATGTGATGTGGACACTTGAAGCCTCCAGTGCACACTGACAGAGGGCGGACTTTTCAGAGAAGAAAGGCGACAACAACTTTAACAGCAGATTAAAAAAAAAAAAAAAGAAAACCATATCAGATACAAATTAGTATTCCACACTGAGTATTTTACATGTCTTAAAACATGGCTGTAGGTGGATCATCAGATGTGACTAATAATTTTACTTATTTATGTAGTAAAATACTAAATATTTGTTGATTACAGCATAACAAATGTAACCTCTCTCTCATTTCTATTGCTGTAAATTGTATACATTTGTTTAGTAACCTGCAGAGCTTACGCGATAAGTCCATCAATCGATTAGTTTATCAACAGAAAAATAAAAGAAAACAATAGATTATGAAAATAGTTGACAGTCATTTTTTCAAGTGAAAAAAGGTGAAAGATTTTATAAATTCTCTGGTTCCAGCTTCTCAAATGGCAGGATTTGCTGCTTATCTTTGTCACATATGACAGTGAACTGAATACTCAGGGTATTGGACTTAAGGCCGGAAAAAAATGACATCTTAAGACATCTCCTTGGATTTTGTAAAGATGTATTTGACACTTTTTCACTGCATTTCATGTACCAAATCATATAATCAGCAGACTACTGGATGATGAAAAACAATCATTAGTTGTAGCCCCAGTTACTGGTCTAACTTAGTGACACATCAGTTTTCTCTGGTAGGGTTGAGTGGGCATTTAGCATCATTCTGACGTGTGCACAGCTGATCAAATGAACAAAGATAATGATCCTGAGACATTAACCAACAATTTAAAACAATAATTCAATTCAGTCCAACTTTGCTCCTATGTGTAGGGTCCACTAGGTAACCCCTCTTCACTTTCACCTGGTCAAGGTTAAAGGTAATCACGGGTGAGGTCACAGGTGTGTGTATGTGGAACACAACAAATAAATAAATCCTTGATGCGTTTCCAAAGCTTCTGTAAGCGTATTAGAGCTGCATACAGGATGCAAACACAAGTCACCTGAGCCACAGCAGACAACATACACAACACAGACTGTGCGGAATGTCCACCACAATAAACTCTAACTGTACTCTAATCTACATTTATATTGATCCATTTGTTTCTACTCTGGTCTGCGGTGAAGTAACACAAGCACATTGAGCCATGTCTGCTCTGATACAAAGGCGCCGAACCCCCCACGATGAAGAGACAGCACACGGCCGACTCCGACGACATGAAGCTGAACAGCGGAGTAAACGTTTACAGGCGTTTAAGTCCCACTTGTTCAATATTACCTTTATCAGGGCAAGTTGTACCGAGTGGAAAGACCAACGTTAGCACTCGCTGCTCTTTGCCAATTCCTGCACCTCAGAGTGCCCTCATTGTTCGGCTTCCTGTTAGCTGCGGCTAACTTCCTGCCAAATAAAGACCCCCTGTCTTTGGTTTTAAAGAGGCCGCGCTGTTCTTGGATGGCTGGATCAAACCGCGTACTGTTACTTCACTAATACAGAGATTAATATTTTTAATTAATATGTTTTAAATATATGTTAAACAATGACGCAGAAAACCGAAAGCAGTTGATATTACCTAGTTTTACAGCAACTGTAGTTCGTAGTGTATCCACCAGAGGGCACCGGCGGTCAGCACACAAACCCGGCATGATAACCCCGCGGCAATGAGGTCAGATCCAAAAATACCCGCGAAGATTCACACAGACATAAATATGGCCATGTTATTATTTTCATACAATGCTAAACTAACTCAATACAATTATATATGTTGTGTCACCCTATATTTTCTAGGCTGTATCATTCCTATGTATCATTGTGTATTCTATTGTCCTATACTATCCTATTGTACTTTATACAATTATTTATACATTGGCTACCTAACTTTTGTCACTTAAATACTGCTGTCCCTTAAGTTAATTAACTTTAATTAGTAATTAAAGTGACAAAAGTTAAGTATGTTTATGCATAAAGGGTAATGTATTGTTAATTATGATGTAATTATGATGTATTAGACTAGATATATTATATTATATTATATTGTATTATAGTGGCAAGAATATTATATTATGTTTCCTGCATCACAAAATGTGATCTGATCTCCATCTGAGTCACAAGAGACAAACACAATGTGCTTAAGCTGATTAGGCACAATTATAATTTTCTGTGTCTTTATTGAACACACCCATTAAACATTCACAGTGCTGGTGGAAAAAGTAAGTGAGCCCTTGGATTTAATAACTGGTTGAACCTCCTTTGACAGAAACAACCTGAAACCAGCTCTCCCAGTAGCTGCTAATCAGACCTGATATTCTTAGGATGTCTGATGTGAACATTTCTCTTCAGTTCATTACACAGCATCTGTACTGGGTTAAGGTCTGGGCTCTGACTGAACCACTCCTCAATGTGTATTTTCTTTGTCTGAAGTCCTTCTGTATTAGATTTACTTTGATGGTCATTGTTCTGTAGCATCACCAGCTTCTCCTGAGCGTCAGCAGGTGGACAGACACCCTGACATTACCCTGCAAGAGACCTTGATAAACTTGGGAATTCATTTTCCCCACAATGATATCGAGCTGGCTAGTATACACAGTGCTGCATGTTCTTCCCAAACAATTCAACTTTATAGTTTCATCATTCCACAAAATACTTGCCTGATAGCATTATAGCTGTATGGCAAACTTCAGGGATGTATGTAATGTCCTGTCATGAACACAATGCTTTTAATACATTCCATTTATTCAAATCAACAGTTCTTGATTGTAAGTCTTCTGAGATCTTTTTTTGTGAGGGCATGTACATTCTTATATGAAGATATTCTTTTACTAATGCTACTTACAATTAGCATAATCACTACTTGCATAAGTTTAAATGCAAACCTTTAAGCACATACACTGTAACATCCTCTCAATATGCACAAACATTGAGATGAGACCTTTACAGTGACTGAGCATATTTCAGTGATGTTTCTCATCTTTCAGTAGAATGACTCACCTGTTTAGAACAGGTGAGTATGGTTAGTCTGGACAGAATAATATACAGGTGAGATAAGGCTGATTGTCCTTTTTTGGTAGCAAGAGTAACACTAACACTAAGACCGACAATGGTTAGCATGTCTTTGTTTAGTGTTATTTTAGGGGATCACCGGGATGTTTATAGGCTGTCAGCAGGATGTTGAGTAAAAGGGTATTGTATTGTGGGTGGTAAAATATAGATTGTAACTCTTATAGCTCTTGGCAGGGTATTCCATAGTTTTGGAGTATTGTTTAAAAAAAAGCTGCACTGTCTATTTTCTTGTGGGTAACATTGTGTGTATTTAAAAGCCTGTCAGCAGAAGATCTGAGAGCTCATGTAGGATTATAAAATGACAGCGAATCTACAATGAAGGCTGGCCCCAATCCATTAAGAGCTTTAGAAATTAACTGAATAAAATAAAAAGCACTGTGTTTGAAACAGTATATGCATATATCCCATACGCAAATGTTTTAAATTTCCATATATGAAATATACTGTATGTACACATTAAGTAAAATCATATATGTACATATATGTGTATATCTCCTGTGACATCTTAAAAAATTTGCCTTGAAGGGTAACACAATGTTGTGTTTTGTCCACAGAAGTGAGGCATATCGTACGCACTATTGGAAACCCATCAGACCATTTTCTGGATGCAGGACTGCATCCACTGCATTTGGAGCACATTAGCTAACTAAAACATTTCTTCTTTTTACCAGCCTGAATGATCTCAGGTCGGAGATCTCTTTTGGAAAACATTTGTGTTTATAACTCAAACATGAGGAACGTAAAACAGAACAAGTTCAGATTTTTCTGTTTTGTTTTATTCTGATCCTGTGCAAGGCGTCTGGTAACCTCATGGGGAGAAGATGCTGATGCTCTTGACTATGACCAGATGAGCTTTGTAGACCTGCTACAGCAGATGCTGATGGTGAATGTTGGTGAAAGAATTACACTGAGCCATATTCTTCAGCATCCGTTCATCACAATAAAACACCTCGTCAGCATATTCAACTACAGCCTCTAGTAAGTGTGATTATATAGATAAGCATACTGTAGACATAGATATAGATCAAGTTTTTTGGCTCAGTGATTGGTTGTCTTCCAGTGTGAAATCATGCATAGAGCTAATGAGCATCTGTGAGGAAGATATGGCTCAGACGACCCTAAACATGTGTGACTGAGGAGGCCACTAACAGCACAGCCAGGCAGGCCATGCCCAGGGTTCCCAATGAGGATAACCCAGCTGGGCTGAGCAGCAAGGACTATCCCTTCCTCCAGAGCACCATCATCAACGGGTAAAACAGTCCAAATAAAAACAATAGGGATGCTACTGATGATGCAGCTGCTGATGATAAAGATGGAAACTGGTAGGTGTTTGACATATTGCCTAAGTGCAAGTCCATCTACCATTTACGTAAATATATATCCATCCCAAAGCCTGTCAATATATGTTGATGTTATGTGTAAGTATAAAATTATATGTGTAAAAGCTAGACATGTATGTTTAAAATTAATTAGAAATTAATCAAAATCATATATTAACATATTGAATTTTTATAAGTATGTTGTTTTAATAATTTTGCAATTATCTATGGATATCATATATGCAATAAACTTCATATATCCAGAGGATGTATATATGTGGTGATATATCTCCTTTTAGGTGACATATATGGCAACATCACTGCAATGCAATTCTGTATGGGTTCTGCCTCTACAGCTTTAAAATACAACTCTCACATACACTGTAACACAGATACTAGCACTCAAGCATTTTCTTACTCTGTCTCTCTCTCTCTCACACACACACACACACACACACACGTGCGCACACACACACACACAAACACACACACACACACACAAAGATGACAGACTAACACGTGTCCCAGTTTCAGTGAACACAGTCAAAACAAACAGCTACACTGTTGTTAGGCAGAACACTGAGTAATGACCACACAGGATTTGTTAATCACTTGACAGGATTGTGCAACCAGAGCCAGGTACCTGTGCCAGCAAATCACCTGTGGACCAATGCTGTAGACGCATAGGAGGGGCCTGTGGTCAAGGTGAAGGTGGAGAAAGGTGGAGACAGGTGGAGGAACACAACAGACTGTGGCATCAGTTACACTGATAAGACTGGTCTAATGTCACAGAGAGAACCAGGGTTCCACCGAATCATGACATAATGAAATTCAACACATCTCAACTTCACATAACATAACCTATTGTGATTTAATATTAAAAAACACTGGCGTGTAACTCAACATGTACACCAACATACAGAATTCATTCATATGTCAACAACAAGTTACAATGTCCCATGATATTACATAGTGATGTAACATTAAACAACCTGAAACACTCTAACATGACATTACATGATTTGACCTGACCTGAGGTAACATGACCTGACAAAGGTCAGAGGTCATTTTTAACAGAAGATGTCTTGGTATATCACAGTACGAAAAGCACAGGTGTAAATTATAGAGTGAATGATGGCTGAATTCCACGTAGCTGCTTTAGTTTCAATGATCTGACATTGTGCGCGTTGGCTCACTGTCAGTAGTTCATGGCTTATAGTTTTACATTAATAACACCTTTGTGCTTTTGTTACTATGACAAGTCAAAGTGTCTGCTGTGAAAAGGGCAGACAGACTTAGTGTAAACCAACATGATGTATAACATAGAATAGCGTCAGGCTACATTGTTGGCTACATGACATGACATGACACATTCTTCATGTAACTTGTAATGTAATGAAACCTGTTGTAGCATGAAATTACAGTTTTGATATAATATGATATAATTATATTATATTATATTATATTATATTATGTAATTTAACCAGGGGAGATAAGACCTCATATGACATTGCACAGCATTGTGCTATATTATGCACGACATTATCCAATGTGATTTGAAGTCATGCAATGAAATGTCATGAGTTCACATAACCTGCTGTGACATAAGACAACATGATGTGATGCATATGACAAATCACATGATATGACGAGACATGATGATATATATAATAACATGCCATATCATATCATAACGTGAGGTAACATGATATAAATTTTTTATCTGATATGGGACAGTATGATTCACAAGAGCAGTACTTAATGTATATGAATGTATACTGTATATGTAAACATAAACATACACAGTCTAGAGAGGGCACATTTCAAAGTAGTGTCTCAGCTAGTGATCAGCTTGTTAGAAACCTCTTGGGCTCCTGATTTATTAATTGTGATTCATAATGTCAGACTGTGACACAGGTCAGCAACAATCCATGTACGTTGCATTAACCACAGTTTAATTATCCT